GACCCCTGGGTTGTGAGTATAAAAAATAAAATCTACACTCTAGGTTTAGCTGACTTGTTTCATAGTAATCAAAAAGATAGCATTTTTTTTAGACATAACATACAATAGAATGTGAGACGTTTTTAAACAGAAGGCCATATCTGATATATGTAAATCACCAAAATGTATGTTATATAAGCATTTAGTTGATTATTTTTGTTTAAAAGGTTAATTAAAAAAACCCATCCATGTAAAATATAGAAAAGCAATTTCATGTTTAAGACTTTCAGCACATAATTTAAAGATTGAAACTGGAAGATACGAGAACTTAATAAGGAGTGACAGGAAATGTGTTCTGTGTATTTCAAATGATATTGAAGACGCACAGGATGAAAAGCCAGGTTTCCCAAATTTGGAAACTCGATGGAAACATATGGGAATCGTGAAATCAGTAGTTTCCATATAGTTTCCATTTTATGGAAACCACAGTGGTTTCCACATATATTCCCAACATGGAAACAATCAACCTGTGGTTTCCCGTAAGTTTCCCAAGATAGGAAGCCGTGGAAACATGCCTCAGTGGTTTCCATGTAGATTCCCGACATGGAAACAATCAACCTGTGGTTTCCTGTAAGTTTCCCAAGATAGGAAACCATGGAAACGTGCCTCAGTGGTTTCCATAATGTTTCCCGACATGGAAGCCATCAGTCTGTAGTTTCTCCCATGTTTACCAGGTAGGGAAACTTTGAAATTATATCTCATACTCATTTCCAACTACATGTACTTTTTATTTTGCACTAGCCCCCCCCCCCACTTTCAGATCTAGGGGGGGGGGCAAGAGTATGTCTGTGCCCCCCATCTTTTTAATGAAGAACAAAATCACAGCTATTTTGAAATAATATTAAACCTCAATGTATGGCATTTTTCTATGTTCAACAACTTAGTAAGTATTTCTCTTGAAGTAATGTAGTTGTATCATGCGGGTCAAAAAATTGGAATTGAAAGTAACTTTCCTTTGAAAAAAAGTCGTCCACTACCCCATCCCCCCACCCCCCACGAAATAGGATTTACGAGTTTGGGGAACTTTCACTTTTTTTTTATTTTTTGCTTGTCAAAGAATATCTGGACTTGAGCCCCCTCACTTTTAAGTTTGTGACTACGCCTCTGATGTAACTATAAAGGTCCTAAATGCACATGTATATTTAACAAAACCATGCACCCCCCTCCCCAAGGCCATTGCTCTACATGTAACTAAAGAGGAATCTATAAAATTATACATTATTTTGTTTTCCTCAAGAACAACGGCTTTTGATGTATAGTGCATGCTAAGGCAATCGATTAAAAGAATTAAGTGTGTAATTGTATTACTGTGCATTTTTTGTTGATGACATTATATAAAGAATAAGAAGGTTTTCAATACAACTAGATTTCTTTATCTACGTTGTCCACTACTTTATTTCTACATGCTGTAAATTACTCTTTTAAAGAAATAATTATGCGTGTTCTTAAATTTGACGAGACTCAAACTACAGGCCAGTAGGAAAGTAATTTCCGTTTGCGTAATAAACTTACCGGGAATTTTTTTTACTAGAATACCTTACCAAATTTCCTTATTACGAAAAAAAAAGTATATAAGAAGAGATACAGGGCGGGACCAGCTAAAGCTGTGTGCATAAACTCACAACCATTCACATTAATGAGTATCTATAGACAGTAGATGATTTTTGACACAATCTTTCCAATGACCTCACTTATACCCGTCACGACTAAAATACTGAATTAATATACTATTAATTTTTCCTGCCTTTGATTAGATATTAGACATAAATTTTGTCCCACCTTGTGATAACTCTCCTTAAAAATAGCTTTTTGACATTCTAATATATACATTAAACAATACTACATGTTAAAATGATGTGGGAAATTTATTTAACTAAATGCCAAATTGATATTTTTCAAGTACGATATAGCAAATAGAAAAATGTACAGTAATCACCTCCACCAGTAATAATATATATTGATAGCAGGCTCAAAATCTAAACCAAAAAAGGAGGGAGCTCACTGATTTTTTTTTTAGTCAAAACAAGAAAAAAAATCAGATCTGATGATATTCTATCTTAATTTATACAAGTGTATCCTGTTTTACCATACTTCACTCAGGCTGATTCTTTCTACTAAAAGCGTTTTTAAATTATTAATAGCGATTAATTTTCAAACATGTTTAACACCGAACTTTTCAATCATCACTATTAAAAATAGATATTTTTTTCAATATTTTCGATATTATAGCTCCTTTTCATGCCTTTTAGGATTCAGGTGGAGAGTTCACGATTTCAAAAATGTACCTTTAAAGGTTTAACATCGTTTTGATGTGTCATTATACATTCATAATTACAACCGTTAAAAGTGGGGAGGGGGCATATATTTTCAGCTAGGACGGCCACTGCCATGCAATACCCAAGCCCCGAAACCCCCATCCCAAAAGCAAATAATTTTAGGTGTTAAATTTTTTTTTCTCTAAGTGGCACGCGCATATTATTTTTTTAAAAACGCTTTCTATCTAAATATACTAGGCCTACACATCTTATCGGCAAAAATATACAGTATATTTAGGAACCCCCCTTTATTCCATGAACAGGGAAACACTTCATTAAATTTTTATATAAGATTTCATTATTGCTAGTGCTCTCGAGCGGTAGCAACTACATTAGTCCAAATTCCTTGAGTACGCATACTCGGCCGCCACGGTGGTGCATTCTGGGAAAACTGTGAAAACTACTACAGATAGACCGTACGATAACAATTTCGTTGTATCATGTTGTAGCATGAAATAACTGTGTATTTATTGTATAGCTTACACTTTAAAGATAACTTCATATTTATAATATTTCAAATTCTGGTTTTTTTTTTTTTGCTGACGTAAAAGCCTGAGTCATTACATGTATCTGATTGTTTTCTAAACAATGACAAGGGAGTTTTGTTTTCTGTTTTTTTTTTTACTTCTAAGCACAACCAAAGATAGATTTTAATTTCTGATTGGTCAATTCAGCCAATCTGACAAATTCCTGAAACAGAAGCAAGAATTTACACTAAAAATAACGAATAAATCCACTATTTGGGTTTTAAAAATTCTGAGGTGTATGGCTTTTAACCTAACATATTTTGACAAAGATGACCCAAAGGACCAAGCTACTTCACATGCGTTCCAAACTCTCTGGACTCTTTACACAACATACACTTTGAGTTATTTTCTATATTCCTTTCAACTCCCATGTATTTTCTTAGCTAAATTGTCAAGAAATACTCTTCTTTAAATCAGCTCATACATGCAATGTCTCTATCGGCATCTTCTTCATAATATGTGGACGGTGCGACCGTTAGAGCGAGCGCAAACTCTTCTATTGCTTTAATTTAGATCGGGCTTGTCAAACCACACGTTACATTTGATGCGTCTAGACTCTGACGTCACATGACGTCGTATGTAAGTTACAATACAAAGAAAAAACTGAACAGAGCTGAATGTTAATGAAAAAGGTTACGTTTACTATTTATCTTCAATATGTATCCATTTAATCAGGGCGAGTAAACTTTTTGTTAAATATCTTATGTCGTTCTCGCGAGAACGCAACTTTACTAAGTGATGCATTGTGGGTCAAAATTAGTGCGGTAAAAAATTCTTAAGATTGAATGTGCAGTAGTCCGAATTTTCTCTTCGCCCAGGCGTTGTCGTTAGAGCTCGCAGTTACGAGCGTCGTTTCGCGATGCTCGCTATTATATAGAGCCCCCCTCACTCCAGTAAAGGTCATATATGTTCCGTTGCGCCAAAACTCCAATAGGTTTACCCCCCCTTGTTTCTTTACCTATGTGTCTTTAAAATACGCTTTACAAAACAATAACAAGAAAACATTGATGTAACCATCAATTGTCGCCCGGAAAATATATTAAGTAAAACAATGAAAATGAGTCTTGATCATCACACCTCTTCGATATGAGTGAAAAGGCATGCATCTAATTGATGGAGACGATGGTCGCGAATATTTTGAAAACTTGTAGTCGGACAAAAATCCATCAAAAACGATACCATTTTAAACTTGATCAATTCCTCAAGTAAATGTTGGCTGCATAAAATATATATTGAAGTTAGACACACGAATCACCCATATTTAAAAATGTATTAATTTTCAATTTTAGAATATAAAACACGAACTGTGCAGAGTACGTAAAATTCGATGTTCTAAAAAAAGGGACCTGTCGTTTTTTTGATAGTAAATGATAAGCAACATTATATATTAAAAATGAAAAAAAAATATATTTTTAAAGATTAACTTTATGGAAGTAAATATATTATGTATCTCGTAATTTATAAACGGAAAGAACATTCTGATTAACAATCTTTCAATGTTTAGAAAACCTTTAATTCTAAATAACTACTCCCACCCCAATCCCCATACACCAACACTTAAACTTATATGTATAGGGCAGCCCGGTCCTCCGGGCTGCAATAACTTTTATCACACTCCAGCCTCGATAAAAATTAAAGAATTCACCAAAATAAATCACTTGATCACAGATCTTCCTTTCTGTGTTTTAAAATGGCTACGGCGCTAGCTCACCTATCTTTTAAAAAGATAAACTTGTCATACTTAATCATAATGAACGTACAAACCGTTTTTGTTTCCCATCCTGCATCGCTCTGCAGGCGCTTTATTTCATTGGTCAATTTCCCGAGGCGCCATTTTTGGAGGATCGAGAAGGACGAAGAAGAAGATGTAAGCAGCTGGTAAATGTGAAAAGTTAATGATCTTTTAACCACCCAATGTCTTTGAGACTGTGATAAATGCAATGAACAACAACCACGGATAAGTGTACGTATATTTTTGTTAATTTTTTACGGTAAATAATTGTTATATTTGGCAACAACAAATCTTCACGATCGGAGACAACTTTTGTTCTGACGCCATTTTGAAAAGTTGAATATCTAAAATTCTTAGTCTTTAGTACATATATTGCAAGAAATAAAAGGGAAATTTGAATGATTTAACATACTTAATTTACTTCCATGCAATAGATAGACAATGTAGGCCCCAAATTATCGTACATGTGTTCCATGCTGTATGTTGTACAATGACGACTTTTCGCCTTTTAATAGAATGAATGCTCAATATAATAGTTCTCGCTCTGTGTAAAAATGAGTTCTTTCAAAGCGGAATTTCTTTTCTTTTTTTTTATTTTTAGCCCCTCTATTTATTCGGTTGATAATATCTATACCGAGCACGGTTTCGAAGTTAAATACATACTAAAGTACATCCGGTTCGAATTCATGTGTTCTCGCATAGCTAACTGTTTTGATTTTTTGGAACTTATGACAAGGTATAACCGTAAAAATGAGATATTTTTGTTTCAAAACTATGAAAAAGCATCAATATTTTGCAAAAAGTGTCTTCAGTCGCAACTATCCGATCATTCATGAAGGATATCATTATCAGAACAGTTGAAATAGATTGTAGCTTAGCATAACCCTTAATCGTAACCCTTAATCATATGCATGAGGATGATATGGAGGGAAACATACATTAAAAAAGTGGATATAGACGAAAGCCTGTCCACTACGCTGAAGGTAAAAGGTTTATATATTGAAATAGTTTCTGACAAAAGAAAAATTTTCTAATGTCTGACCTGCTGAGATGAAGATGTTAAAAAATAAAAGCCTACATAGTGAATTAATATGAATAGTATATCAAGTAATGCAAATGAATCATCAGCTTGAATTATCAGTTATTTCACAATTATTGACCGGTGTAGGCCAACATGAAGTTATAAGGACCTATGTCAAGTGATATTGACCCACGACATAGAATAGGAACCAAGCATGATAGGTCATGTCAATATCACTTGACATGGGTCCATATATAAACCACATTTTGACTAATACAATGACGGTGCGACTGTTATGGCGAGCGCAGATATATATTTTGTTATAATTTAGATCGGGCTCATCAAACTGCACGTGACATTTGGTGCGTCTAGAATCTGACGTCACATGACGTTGCTTGTGAGTAACAATTCCAAAAAGAAGCCTGAGCAGTGCTGAAAATAAATGAAGAACATTTTGTTTACTATTTATCTTCAATGTTTATCCATTAAATCAGGGCATGTTTACTTTTAGTTGAACTTTTGCTGCTATTCTCGCGAGAATAGCTTTAACAAGTGATGCATTGTGGATCCAAATTACTGCATCAAAAAATGTTATCAAATGAATGTGCAGTAGTCCAAATTTTCTCTTCGCACAGGCGTTGCTTTAAGAGCTCACAGTAACAAGCGTCGCTTGACTGTGGCCTATATGCAAAAAATACCCTCTTTGAATTTTGTTGCGCCGGACGCATAGTGTTGGACAAATGCATCTTGTTTACATCTGAAAAAGGTGATTTATAAGATTCCTACTTTATTATTTAATCTGTGTGTTTTCCATTCAATACATTTGATGAAGAATATTGATCAAACGTTCAGGTTATAATAATAATTCCAACTATCGTGGAGAATTTTGGTGATTTCATGAGTTTAAATTTCAGCAGGTATAACTTCACATTCAGGGTGTATACAGAGTATCTTCTATGTGACGTAAAGGTGATACATCTGCCTTATCTGTTTAAATCTGCAGTAATTGGGATATATTTTGCTGGATTACAGCTGAAAAGCAAATAAGTTTTTTTTTATTTGTTTTGTTTTTTTTTTTTTTTTTTTATAAAAGAAGCATCAGTTTAGGAAACAACGGACCCTACTAAGGGGTTTTGACACAGAATGATCAAATATCATGATGATAAGGCTTTGGGGTTTTTTTTATAGCATTTTCTTATAACTTAAATTTATTTTGATTAGTTTTTAGCTCACCTGAGCCAAAGGCTCAAGTGAGCTTTTCTGATCACAATCTGTCCGTTGTCTGTCGTCGTCGTCGTTGTTGTCGTTGTTGTCGTCGTCGTCGTCGTAAACTTTTCACATTTTCATCTTCTTCTCAAGAACCACTGGGCCAATTTCAACCAAACTTGGCACAACGTATCCTTGGGTGAAGGGGATTCAAATTTGTTCAAATGAAGGGCCGCGCCCTTTTCCAAGGGGAGATAATCATGAATTTGTTAAAAATTAATGGCATTTTTAAAAAATCTTCTTCTCCAGAACCACTGGGCCAGGAAAGATGAAACTCATGTGGAATCATCCTCAGGTAGTGTAGATTCAAGTTTGTTCAAATCATGACCCCCGGGGCTAGGGTGGGGCCAAAATGGCCAACCCAAGTTTAACATAGGAATATATAGGAAAAATCTTTAAAAATCTTCTTCTCCCAGAACCACTGGGCCAGGAAAGATGAAACTCATGTGGAATCATCCTCAGGTAGTGTAGATTCAAGTTTCTTCAAAGCATGACCCCCGGGGCAAGGGTGGGGCCAAAATGGCCGACCCTAGTTTTATAAAAATCTTTAAAAAATCTTCTACTCCAGAACCGCTGGGCCAGGAAAGATGAAACTCATGTGGAATCATCCTCAGGTAGTGCAGATTTAAGTTTGTTCAAATCATGACCCCCGGGGCTAAGGTGGGGCCAAAATGGCCGACCCTAGTTTTACATAGGAATATATAGGGAAAAATCTTTAAAAATCTTCTTCTCAAGAACCACTGGGCCAAGAAAGATGAAACTCATGTGGAATCATCCTCAGGTAGTGTAGATTCAAGTTTGTTCAATCATGACCCCCGGGGCAAGGGTGGGGCCAAAATGACCGACCCAAGTTTTGCATAGGAATATACAGGAAAAATCTTTAAAAATCTTCTTCTCCAGAACCGCTGGGCCAGGAAAGATGAAACTCATGTGGAATCATCCTCAGGTAGTGTAGATTCAAGTTTGTTCAATCATGACCCCCGGGGCAAGGGTGGGGCCAAAATGACCGACCCAAGTTTTGCATAGGAATATACAGGAAAAATCTTTAAAAATCTTCTCCAGAACCACTGGGCCAGGAAAGATGAAACTCATGTGGAATCATCCTCAGGTAGTGTAGATTCACATTTATTCAAATCATGACCCCCAGGGCTCGGGTGTGGGGCCAAAATGGCCGACCCAAGTTTTACATAGGAATATATAGGAAAAATCTTTAAAAATCTTCTTCTCCAGAACCACTGGTCCAGGAAAGATGAAACTCATGTGGAATCATCCTCAGGTAGTGCAGATTCAAGTTTCTTCAAATCATGAGCCCCAGGGCTAGGGTGGGGCCAAAATGGCTGACCCAAGTTTTTACATAGGGATATATAGGGAAATCTTTTAAAATCTTCTTATCAAGTGCTTCAAAGCTATGATTAGTGATATTTATATGGAATCATCCTCAGGTAGTGTAGATTCTAGTTTGTTCAAATGATGAATGCCTGGAGGGGGGGGGGGTAAATTCAAGCCCGATGTGCTCAGGTGAGCGCTGTGGCCCCTGAGCCTCTTGTTAAATATATTTTTGATTATCAAAAAAAGTCAAAATTGACAAATTGAAAAATTTAATAAACAATTCATGTTTTAAGAAGGGGTACATTGGCCACTCTTGTTGCCTAGAGGAGATTTCAATATTGCATGTTGAGCTATACCCAGTGGTTTATCAGTTTTAAGTGAATTTGTTTAAGACAGAAACCTATAAAATAAGCATTTCAGACCAAAATGGGGCTTCAACTGGATGAACGGCATGTTGTGACAGTGACAACATAGATTGTGGTGTTTTTGTTTCTTTTTTGTGTTCATTTTGTTATATCTTAGTTTTTATATATTTTAGAGGCATTCATCAATGTCATTACTAATGACAAACAGGAGAAACGGAGACAGGAGATGGAAACACTGATCTTCACAGATTGCAGTCAAAACAAAGCAAAAGAAAGCATTCAGTAAGTCTAATTTACTAAAATCCTATATGAAAAAGTGATCTTTTGAGATTTATTTTTAAATTAATTGGCCTACATTTCAAAAATATTTGTTAATTTACAGTCTTCTTTCATCATATATAGCAGGGTTGTAGAGGAATTAAATATTCTTTGAAATTTATAATATTTTGTGTCAATGGGTATTTCTACAAAACTAAGGTCACATACCGGGTAGTTCATTATCATGATAATTGTACAGATATGTTTTAAAAAAGTCTGTATGATTAACTATGCGCTTTTCCTTCAGAAACTGGAAATAAGATAGAAAGCCGTGGAACATCTAGACGAGTCATGGACCCCAACATCTAAAAAAGAACTTGACGGAGTGCATTCGGTTGGACATAACTTCACCCGAGAAGACTGATGACAAACTCAACAAAGAGGGTCAGGCTCCTATTTTCCTGGGGAATCAACTAGACTGTGCAAGGGAAAAGAGGCACTGGACAAGGCATATAGACACAAGGTCCTGAAGACCGAATCTGCCAGACGGCAGTTGGTATTTGTAAGGGATGTTAGAGAGCACACAACAACACCTCCTCCTGAGAAGTGTCCAGCTTGGGCCATTTCCAGGGACTACTCCTCATAGAGGTAATTAATTTTCTCAGATACCTATTTATTTTAACCTTTCTTAGTATTGTGTAAAACTTTTATAAATTCATTTAACTTCCCTTTTTAAGTGAATAAAAAGATCAATACCATTTGAAAAAAAATATTAAGGATGTGTTATTTTTTGCTTGCAAATACTGAAGTCTGATTATATTGAACCATTTTCTATGGCTTTCTTTTGATAAGTTTTATGATAGTGTATGGTCTCCTTGTCTAAGCAATTGTACTATCCATATAAGAAAAGCTGCAACATCAAACAAGAGTAGGGTAAAATAGACAATGTGACCTCTTTTTGGAAATTATGCCTGTACATCCTTAAATAATTTGTGGATCACATCTTTTCTTTGAATCTGAGAGAATCTGATTTCGGAAATTTAACATATCATATGTTTTTATAATAACTCACATCCTTATGACCAGAAAACTTGTTTTTTTTATGGAGATAAGAATTACTGTACAATCATTTTAATTCATAGGGGGGTCAATGTTTGTGGATAAGTAAAATTTTGTTGTTTCTAGGAAATGTTATTTCGTAAGTAATTTGTATATTCAGAATATTCAGTGAACAACATTTCTGTTAAACATTTTCTTCCCAACTTCCCTAGAAGGACAGCTTATTCAATGAATGGGATGTATTATAAACACCAAAATGTTACTTCAGCTAAATTTTAACTATTTTTTTATTCCTTGTAGGTCAAACGAGGTTTCAGCTATCAAGAGGATACAAGAAAAAGAACTTTTTAATTCTGTGGTTGTGTATTTCCAGACGTAAATATTGATAGTTGTTTTGGTTTTTTATAATGTACCTGTAATCAAAAGTTCAGGGTATATAGTTTTTGCACTGTCGGTCTGTCTGTCTGCAAAAATGTAAACCAGGCCTAAAGCTTTTGAGTGGATGGGGCGACTGCTTTCACATTTCACAGATGTATTCTAAGATTTACATACAGATGCAATGTTGATGTTTTGACATATCATTAAAAATTGTTATGCTTTTTCATATTTTTTTTTATATAATATTAATACTGCAGTAACTTTATTGAATCCCTGAATGTCAATAATCACTAATTTGGTTTTTAGTATAAAATATTGTATTTTTTTTTATAATAGTAACTAAAAGCAAGCCATGATTTTTTTTATGTTGTACATATACAATGTTGATGCTTTGATATATCTTTAAAATTTGTTATACTTTTTCATAGATTTATTTTGTTCACATAATACTTAAATAACTGAATTGAGTAACTTAATTGAGTAACTTAAACTTTTATTTGTTGAGAATTTGAATAGATAGTATTATTGATATAATTTCTGAGAATACAAATGTCATCTTATTTGAAATTTGTTTTGTTGTTTACTATATCCTCAAGGTTCACTCATCAATATTCAATAACAAATGTACCCCACCTGAGAAACTTGAAGATTCTCATAAGCTAATTCCAATATGAGAATTTTAAAGAAAATTCAACAAGAAAAAAAAATAATTATTCCAATAAATCCATTTAGATTCCATCAAGGGAAAACCCAAGATTCCTGATAAGTTTCCATGATATGGAAACTACTACCTTTCAATTCCCTCAGGTTTCCAACCTTTGGAAACTCAAGGTTTACTGTATGAATCCAAGCAGTTTCCTATTCATGAAAACTTTAAGA